ATTCAGTTGGAGGCTTTTCTGCCTTCTCACCCCTCCATGTTTTAAATACGGGTACTCCACCATTTTGATCCTCGTACTCTATCTCTCTTGCATCGATCTATCAGTCTGCTCTTCCTCCACTGCACTAGACTTCACCTGGTCTGTTCTACCAGACTTACATGACAGCGATCATTTTCCGATCATTCTTACTTCTCCTTCCTATTCACCACCTTTCCGTAGCCCTCGCTGGCAATTTGATCGGGCAAATTGGGATCTTTACTCACACCTCACTGCTTTTAGTGAGGTTCCTTCTTCATCCTCCATTGATGAGCTCCTACACATCTTCTCGACGTCAGTTTATACCGCAGCTTCTCATTCTATACCCCAAACCTCAGGCAGGCATTCTCAGAAGTGCGTGCCTTGGTGGTCTCCTGCTTGTGCTCGTGCAGTACGTTTGAAACGTGCTGCATGGGGCAGGTACCGGTACAATAGAACGCTGAGAGACTTCTTGATTTTAAGCAGAAGCGTGCGATCGCTCGCCGTGTCATCCGTGAAGCTAAACGCACTTGTTGGCGAGACTATGTTTCCACCATCACCTCTGCTTCTTCTATGAGTGCAGTCTGGAAAAAAGTGAGGAAATTGAGTGGTAAATACTCTCCTGACCCGGCTCCTGTTCTCCGGGTCGCTGGTGTTGATGTAGCAAACCCTCTCGACGTTGCCATTGAACTTGGCACACATCTGGTCCGTATTTCCCGAGGGCTCCATCTATGCCCCTCGTTTCTTTCCTCAAAGTCTGCCAGAGAGTTAGTACCTTGGACTTTTCTTCTCTCAGAGAAGAACAGTATAATGTGCCTTTTACACTTCAAGAACTGGAGGCAACGCTCTCAGCTTGCCGATCATCGGCAGCTGGGCCTGACGACATTCATATTCGTATGTTACAAACATTTACATCGGTCAGCCCTTGTAGTCCTCTTACACCTCTTCAATCTTATTTGGGCACAAGGAGTTCTTCCCAGCTGTGGAAATCTGCCATTGTTCTCCCTTTCCGCAAACCGGGTACTACAGGACATGATGCCTCCCACTATCGCCCCATCGCTCTTACTAGTGCAGTTTGCAAAGTGATGGAACGTCTCGTAAATCGACGTTTAATGTGGTATTTAGAGACTCACAACAGTCTCTCCGTAGTCAATATGGCTTTCGTAAGGGTCGTTCTACCATAGACCCTTACTACGCTTGGATACGTATGTTCGTAATGCCTTTGCGAATAATCACTCAGTTATTGCCATATTTTTTGACCTTGAGAAGGCATATGACACAACTTGGAGGTATAATATTTTGGCCCAGGCCCATTCCTTAGGCCTCGAGGCAATCTACCATCCTTCCTTAAGAACTTTTTAACTGACAGACATTTCCGTGTTCGAGTCAATAATGTTCTTTCCCGGACTTCGTCCAAGCTGAAGGTGTCCCTCAGGGATGTGTTCTAAGCACAACACTTTTCTCCTTGCTATAAATGATTTGGCCTTGTTCTTCCACCCAATATTTGGTCATCACTCTATGTTGATGACTTCGCTATTGCTTGTGCAGGCGCTGACTGTCATCTTATTGCAGTTTCTCTCCAGCATGCGGTCGACCGTGTTTCCACTTGGGCCACCACGCATGGGTTTAAATTTTCAAGTACCAAAACTCACCAAATTACTTTCACTAGACGCTCTGTTATCTCCGATCATCCTTTGTATCTCTATGGCTCCCGTATCCCCGAACGTGATACGTCAGGTTTCTAGGCCTTCTCTTTGACCGTCGGTTATCCTGGAAACCTCACATTACCTCTTGAAGGCAACTTGTCACAGCCGGCTAAACCTTCTTAAAACCCTTGCTCATCTTTCCTGGGGAGCTGATCGTCGAACTCTGCTTCGCCTACATTCAGCCCTCGTTTTATCGAAACTCGATTATGGTGACCAGATTTATTCCGCGGCCTCTCCTGCTACTCTCTCTAGCCTTAATCTATCCATCACCAAGGATTACGTTTGTGCCTTGGTGCTTTTCGCTCTTCCCTGTTGAGAGCCTCTATACAGAAGCGAAATGTTCCATCCTTGTCTGATCGCCGTGATGCCCATTGCCTTCGCTACTATGTACGCTCTCACGATCTACACAATCCTTCCATTTATAGAATGGTCACCGATTTAGTAGACATTCTTTATTCGTTGCCGCCCCTGTTTGCTCCGTCCCTTTTCTCTTCGCCTACATTCACTCTTGTCTTCCCTTCAGTTACCACCTTTATATGTTCATGTAGCATCTCACTTTTCCCTACCCCCTGGGGAAGTTCAGCTGTTCGGGTCTGTTCTTTCACTCCCTTGCTCGAAAGCTCAACTGCCTACGGTGGCTTCCGCTCTCTTTTTCTTGATCACTTCCACTCCCATTCTCATGCCACGCTGTGTACACAGATGGCTCTAAGTCTTCAGACGGCGTCGGATTCGCAGCAGTGTTTCCGGACAGCGTCGTGCGGGGGGCATTTACTATCTTCAGCTAGCATTTTTACTGCTGAACTGTATGCCATTCTTGCAGCACTTATTCGTATCGCATCTATGCCTGTGTCATCATTTGTAGTAGTCTCAGACTCCTTAGTGCTCTACAGGCTATACGAAAATTTGATACATCTACATCCCCTAGTTCACCGTATCCAACTTTGGCTACGCGTATCTCTACCAAACATAAAGATATGTTTTTTGTTGGGTCCCTGGTCATGTCGACGTACAGGGCAATGAACAGGCAGGACACTGCTGCGCGGTCAGCAGTACATGACCTACAATTTCCTATCGAGGTGTTCCATTTCTGGACTATTTTGCTGCAATAGCTATACCCACCTTCGCTCCCGTTTGGCAAACAAAGTTGGTTAACTCTGACGGTAACAAACTTATTCTAATTTAAACCGAGCATAGGTTACTGGCTGTATATTGTTCCATCAGTGCACGAGGTTCGGGAGATCCACTCTCTCCTGGCCTTAGCTTTGGTCACTCTCGTCTTACTCATGGGTATCTCGTGGAGAGGCACCCTGGTTCCTCTCTTGTGGCAGTGTCAAGTTCCTGTATTGATTAGCCATCAATTCTGTTTGAATGCCCTTCTCTTTCAACGAGCACGCAGAATTTACCTCCAACGTCGTCTTCGTTTCTACTACTCTCTCTTTACCTTCCCTCTTGCATGATGGACCCTCCTTTAATCCTGTACTCCTCTCATTGACTCTTGACAACGACTGATGTACTCCACACAAACTCTGATGATACTTTTCGCCACTTTCCCCCTCAGACCTTTCTAGTTCAGTCTCTTGCTGCACCTTTACCCTTTTCACAATCAACTGCCTGTGTTTATCCGTACCTTTTTCTAGTTCCATCTCCCTTTTGCTCACCTGATGCGGATGGTACTCGCTTCGTTCCGGCCCTGCAGCGCTGTATTTATTCCTTGTGGTTATGCACTTTTTTGTTTATAACAATAATTTCAAGCTTTATTCAAGCTTTACAGTAAATTAAAAATGGTTTATATTTAAATTGAACTAGTGGATTTATTAGAATGGCCAGAGGCTGTTTAGCACCATCTTAACTTGGGGAGCAGATTGCAAAATAATGTAGGGTGCTTCCCAAATTTGCTAATGTTTGTAGATATATATGTTATGTTGGAGGGTATTGTACATTACTAATATGGTAATGTCTCCCCCCCCCACCCCCCTAAAAAAAAAAAAAAAAAAGGATAAGATTTATAACTCTTTTTTTAGTTCATTAGTACAGCAAACTGAGTACTCAAATTACTTTATAGCATGTTCATAAAAGGAATTAGCACTTTTTTTACTTTGAAGTTTAATCACCTGCATGTAATTATCTGTAGACACTAAAATATAGCAAAATTTATGAAGATTACTGCACTAATTACCTAAAAAATTTTTTTATGTACTGTAATTTAAAATATTGTGTGTTCATTGCCACAGGCTAAGCTTGTCTAAGAGTACCAATATTCAACAGACAAATATGAACTTGGATACTGGTGAACCTCTCGATACCCTGAGTGCTGCATGTATGGACTGGTGTCGCAGTGTTGGATCATCGGCAAAGACCATACAAGAAGTCCTTGCAGGTCCTGATGCAAACATTATGAGAGCAATCCAAGATGGTATTGATCGTGCAAACAAGCTGGCTCCGTCAAATGCTCAAAGAATACAGAAATGGACTATTATTCCCAGAGACTTTTCAGTGCCAGGTGGTGAACTTGGTAGGTGAAGACAGTTTATACATCTTTTAAATTTTATTTAAATCTCTTTTTTTTTTTATAAAATAAATATTGGTTTGGTAAAATGTGTTGGATTTGGATTTATTCTTTAACCTAACAAACCCAACAATAAGTTTAGAAAAGACTGTTTGGGGCCTTTTTGTGCATGAATTTAACTGACATTAAATTTGGCACTTTTCTCGCTCTTGGACATCTGCTTTCAGGAAATTGTGCTTCTTTGAGCCTTAGGGGGTTTTGACATTTCTAAATTCAACAAAATATAGGTGGTTGCTTCCTGCCCATCTTTGATTAGCTACTTTACTAGTACAAATTTTTCCTTTAATCTTGGTTTATGGAAGTCTTAAATACATAACTGATTTTGCTCTCACACCTATCACTAGGTCTTAGTTTTTTTAAAATCTGACTTTTCACTTTCATTTCTGCTCTTCCAGTTCCCCCTTTGTCTGGCATCAGGACAGCTCTCTTGGTTCTTGATATGTTAGGTGGCTACCAAGGTGAAAGCTGTTCATTCTCAAGCAGAGCTCTTGGCTCTCAGTGTCTTCATGGTCACATTTAGTACATAGATGTGCTCTTGGGAAAGTGGTAGGCCTGATACTCCTATATTTTTAATTAATATTTTTAATTAATGCAGGTTATTTTAACTTGTTATTGTGTGCTTGATTTTATTTTTTGTATTAGTTTTGGTTGTGGTGTATCAGGCAAAACAGAAACAAGTGAATGATTTATACGTAGGCATCAATGCTTAAGTTAAATGTTAAATATCTGTCCTCTCCTTGAAACCACCCTTATTTTAACATTCCTTTCAGGGAATTAATGCTTATTCATTTCTTTTCTTAAAGAGTAACCAGTTGTATCCATAACCCAGGGAAGGTAGTTCCTTTAAAACTAAATTGCATAATTATAAAAACTTTTAGTTTGATTTTCATTTTTTAAATTGACAAACTTTTATTTCAACTGGGGCCTACTATGAAGCTGAAGTCGAAAAACGTCACAAAACAAATAGAAAAAAATAAAAATAAATTCCCGGCCTGTTGTTGTCAGAAGTATTGTGATACGATAGAAAGATTTTTCATGAAGCTGAAAGGCGACTATTGGTTTTCTCTGAAGGAAATTCTAAAGTGTAAAGTTTCTTTACACTTATTTCTGTAAAAAAAGCATGGGTATACACGACTTTGTGCCGTGCTTTACTCATTACTTGCCATAAGTGCCTCTTTAAACTTATTTATGGATTAAAGGCACAATGATGTTAATTTCCACCAAGGCTGTGTATCTTGTGAAATAGGTTACTTTAATTTCAACCCAACCCATGTTGCAATGAATTCCCACTTAATGGAACTTCACAGATTAATACTGTGTAGACTTGTAGCACAAGCTGGGTTCAAATAAATCATTTAATCTTTTGTCCATAAGTTGCTTGAATTATTTAAAAATACAAATTCATAGGGCCACTTAATTTGGTTTCGGGTTAATAAACTGGGAGAGAGAGGAGAGAAAAAATAATGGAAGGCCTGATAGGTTTGAGTTGGTTATTTGGTACATGTATTTAAAAATTAAACATTAAGGACTGTTTGATGCCCTGGGTTGAGTTTGGACCCAGTGTATAGTGTCTGGGATGTTGCAATTTAAATATGTACATTTATGCTGGTTAGTTTAAGGAATCTTGAATGCATTTTGTACTATACATAGGTAAGCTGGTTTGTTAAGTAGACAGTGGTGATAGATGTTTATCTCATTTAAGGTGCACTGTGTTGATAGATATGTGCTGTTCAGGGCATGTGTATATTACTATGTATATATGAACATCTTGTTAAATAAATATATGTTATTCATGGATATTTTTATACTTTAAACCCAAGTTGTCTCACAACTGAGTACTAATTTACTCTAAATATTGTGTTGTTTAATGAAATCAGAGCTCTTAGCACCTCTGGAGGGATTATTTATAAAGTGCTTAACCTACAAGGGTCAGAAAGTGCAGCAGGGGCAGGGAAGGATGCAGGGGTATTTGGTAGCAAGTGATTATTAGGTCATGCAGGGCTAGTGGATTGTGATGGGAGCGGGTACAGAAGGGTAGACAAGGCAAGGTCAAATGGCTGAGGAGTGCTAGAGGCATAATCGTGGAGTTTGTGCTTTAAATACATGGTCAGTGGGTTTTATGGAGGGTCCATAAGCAAGACAGGAAGGTAGTAAAGTGCAGTAGTGGACTTTGACTGAGGTAAATTTCTAAGGTGGTGTAGTGGCGAGGTCCATCATAATATGGCTGAAACTGGATTCTGACAATTCTAGTGAGATTATATATATATAAGATAGATATTTAGATATATAGATAGATAATATATAGATATATAGTAGATATATAGATAGTATTTAGATAGTATATATAGTTTAGATATATAGATAGATATTAGGATTAGGATATATAGATAAGGATATTTTAGATAGTATATAGATAGATATATTAGTATAATATATATAGATATAGATATATATAGATATTGAGATATAGAATATAGTTATATAGATATAGATAGAATTATAGATAGATATATTAGATAGATATATAGATAGATATATAGATGATATATAGATATATAGATTAGATTATAGATAGATATATAGATAGATAGATATATATATAATATTTAGATGATTATAAGATAGATATTTAGATTAGATATATAGATTGATTATAGATAGATATATAGATAGATATATAGATAAGACTATATAGATAGATATATGATAAGATATAAGATAGATACATTATTAGAGTGGTGAGATGAGGTTGAAGTACACAGTGAGAGAGGGAGGGGAGGGTAGGGAGGTTGAGATTTAGATATACAGGAGAGGTTGTGATAAGAGATACAGAGGGTTGAGATAGAGTGGAGAGGTTGAGATAGAGAGAGAGGTGAGGGTTATTTGTGTATAGAGAGGTTTGAGATACAGAGAGAGAGGATGAGATTAACAGAGAGAGAGGTTGAGATACAGAGAAGAGAGGTTGAGATACTGAGAGAGAGGTTGAGATACAGTGAGAGAGAGAGAGAGGTTGAGATACAGAGAGAGAGGTTGAGATACTGTGAGAGAGTTGAGATACAGAGAGGTTGAGATACAGAGAGAGACGGTTGAGATACAGGAGAGAGGTTGAGATAAAGAGAGGGAGGTTGAGATACAGAGAGAGAGGTTGAGATTCAGAGAGAGGGGTTGAGATAGAGAGAGAGATTGAGAGATAGAGAGAGATTGAGATATAGGAGAGAGATTTGAGTTATAGAGAGAGATTTGAGATTTAGAGAGAGGATGAGATTGAGAATAGTTTGCCTTGCCCACCCCCCCTCTCATCTGCGACTGCTTGACAGTATATGAGAACGAGCAAAGACGTCTCATCTCTCGCACTGGACAAATCACCTGGATTGATCTGTCATTCAGCAGAGCCTTCAACATAGGATGGGATGTGGGTGTGGCCTTTATTGTTATGTACAAGGCAAATATTGGATCCACTTCGAGACACCAGCGTGAATCATAGCTTTTTGCACAAGACGGGCAGAAAGCGCAACTTCATCTGGCTGTACCTTCTCCAGACACATAACTACATCTGAATCATTACAATACCCAGGATGACTAAGAGTATGGAACACATTTCGTACAGCATAATGATGTCAACGAGATTAGTCAGTGATCAAATGAAATTGCTGGCCCAATGTATGCTCCACTTCATCCTGTTTCTACTTGTATGTCTCATAAACAATAAAAATGCTTTTTAAAATGAGATGATGTAGGTAACAAGCTCTTAGCTTGCCAATAAAGTTAGGAATCATTAATCCGCGTAAATAGTGTCATAAAAATAAAGCTAGGGATCCTTTACCTTGTCAAACCTGTTAAAAAGAAAAATAAAAAAGATTGGAGATATAGGAGAGAGAGTGATTGAGATATAGAGAGAGAGAGATTGAGATATAGAGACGAGTAGATATGAGATAGATAGATTGAGGAGATGAGATAGAGAGTTGGAAGTATAGAAGAGGATGGAGATATATATAAGAGATGGAGATTGATTGAGTAGAGATTTATAGGAGATGAGGTGCCCTGTTACACTAAAAATTATGTTGGACCATATGGCCAGTTAGATATTTGGATTGCAGAGGGTTAGAAACCCAGGATAACCCAAAGAAGGAAATTAAATATTTATGTGATCCTTAGATCTCTGCACTGGATCCTACAACAAAAGTACGTATACTAGTTTTTCTTCCAGGTTAAAGTCAGAGTCCAACAGCTGTGAGCCAAAGATGCTAAAACTAGGTAATTGGTAAGTTGGCACACTTGCATGATGACTATCCCCATTGTTCTCTGCCCAGGCCCGGTATGCTTATGCCCACCCTGTGATCCAGAATTGGTTAGTGTCTCAATGTGTGGAATAGACTGGCATCTAATATAATATCTAGGCTATGTTGAGAGGAATGAACAGGCAGAAACAAAGGCAAAAGCTGCTGTAGTGAGCTTACTTTAAAGTAGACTTTAGCCTTGGTGACCTGGGCAATGTCGAGGTAGTGGGCCCTACAGACTGGAAGCAAACTGTATAGTTGGGCAGGACGTGGGTGTTAAGTCTTTCAAGGATAATTGCAAACCAACCCTGCAATTAAGACTTGGGTACACCTCTCAGTCACCTGTTTGCAGGTGCTCCTGCTCCCCCCTTTACCCTCTGTAGCTTTTGGCATGCTCAAGATAGCACACAGTTTACCTGTGCATTGGGCCTTTATCTTCTAGTCAATTTTGAAATTGCCGGTAGGTATTAGGGGAAGTCTTTTGACTTAAATAATTTAATGGTATTTTTAACTGATACTGCTTATTTTAACATGATAGAATTTTAGCACTTGTTTATGGCCTTTATTATTTTTTTGTTGCTGAGTTCTGAGTAACTTTACAATCATCAAAGTAATTGAGAAACTAAATGCTGCCTCTGAATTTGCTGCACTACTAGCTTCTGCAAGCCTCAGAATACCTTAGAAGCAAAGTCCCTTAGGTCTACAATACTTTGTGATAAAACTGCCTTCAAGGAGAAAATCCTTTGCTGTGATATGACTTGATCAGAGGAATTAGATCTCTTGTCCCCTTCTACTTGAGGGAAGTTCCTTGACGTTGGTAAGGCAAGGGCTATCCAAAAAATTGGTTCTGTTCTCCTATTGGCTTAAGAGGGCAAAACTGAATTTTTGCAGCTGGGAATGGTATGACGACATGGGGATGAATATTTTTATAACTGCATTTCATGGGAGTGGTAAACCCATAGCGGTCATACAGTTACTTTAGAAATGGTGGCAGATTAAATCAAAGTTAAGGAAGGGTAGCTAAAATTCTTGTGATAAAAGCCCTTCACCAGCGTAGTCAGCTTCCTTATGGAAGTTTGATGTAATCTTAAAACCTTTAGGGGAAAGAAGGGTGGGGGGGTGAGAATTAAGGTCTTATGAGGTTTTCTTTTTAGGTCTTGGGATGTGGTGCAGGTGCTTTAGAAAACTGGAGAGGACTGTTTGACAGTAAAATTAAAATGACAAATGACCTCTTCAGTTTAAAAGGACAAAATCGTGATAAATGAGCACAAGGCATTTTGGTCAGGGACAACAGAAGTTTCACAAATGAAACCCTTCAACGGAAGTTACCTTGATGCTGCTGAGGGGCTCATGATCTAAGGAACTGGACTTTACCTTCCCTTCCTTGGAACTAAACTGAATGCCTCTTAATTTCCAGATACTATGGCCCTACAGATTCAGAGCTTCCCCGTGAATAATAAAAAAAATGCAACCCAACTCGTGTCTAATCATAAACCTTGCAAGCCTTTGGAAAGCCTTATTAAAAATGGTGTACAGTCTGCGTGGAAAGTTGTAACACCAGCTGCAGGTCACGTTTGATCAATAAAAGGTGAAGCATGAAACACAAAACAGATGGATGAAGGTTGGACTTTACAGATATCTTGGGGAAACTCTTAGACCAGTTGCATGGGGCCATGCACCTTAGCTCAAATGATGCATTTGATGCTAGAAAACAAAGCACTGTCCTCTAATAACAATATCAATCAAAAACGCCATTTGAACTTCACCGAACGTAGTGTAAAGTCTGACCCAAGGGCAGATGAGGCCACTCTCTTGAAGCTGTATGCATAGCCCAAC